GGGGGCGGGGATCACTCTCAGCTCTAGAGGCTGCCCATAGTTCCTTGCCAAGTGGCCCTCATACTTTTTACAAAAAGAACAATGCAAAAGCCTTGGACAGTGGAGGGAGGGTGAGGATCTCCATAAACCTGCCCCTCCGTAAAAGCAACAAAAACACCAGCAGAAACTGTCAATGTGTCCAGAACCCTGGAAATTAACCAAAGGCTTGCAACAATCTGAGACGCTTTGATCCAAGAACAACTGCTGAATCTCAGTAAGAACAACAGGGTTTATGGCTTTCTAACTTGGACTATTCCCATCCTCTTCTCCCCAGCTTCACGGGAGCCTTAAAATCCAGCAGCCTCGCAATCACAGTAGCTACGAAAACCATCGACCTGAAAGATGAACCAAAAAAAAAGAAAAAGCCAAAATAGAAACAGCCCAAATGTTCTTCCATTAACACTGATTATCTCTGAGTGGGAAGTAAGATTGGAGAGACTTTTGCTTTTTACTTTGTAGCGCTTCTACGCAGTTAAACTGTTACAAAATAAAGAACACTAATAAAGATAAAGCAGAGGAAGAGAGAGTTCCTCAAAATGCTTTAATGATTAAGGAATGGTGGGTGGAAATTGTACAGGACTATTTATGGCTATTTCTAATATACGACCTATATAAAACATCGACGTTCTTTTTATTTGATGTCCCATCTTTAACATTTCATTTTGAGAGCCAAAAATGTTTCTAAGAGCATTTATAGACTCACATTTGACCTTTGGTTCTAAGTTGGTCAGCTGTAAACTCTCTTACCGTGGTGGTTTTCAGGGACACAGCCATAACAAGTGGAGCAAGGGCTTTATACGGTCTAGGGCTTTATCTGGCAAGCTTGCTCTACTACTCCTTGCAAAAATAACTGAGTTAACCCAGCTGTAATCTTAAAAGCTAACTAGAAGCCATCATAAGCAGATTTTTGTTCCCAATGGTATAGCCTGATCTGGAGCCTAAAACTATTTTTGACAGTGCAGAATGATGCCCCCTGTGCCCAAGAGATACATTAGCAAGAAGACTTTAGGCAGCCGCCAATTGTGATAATGTCCCCACAATTATTTAGGAGGCCATCTGTGTGAATGAGCCTAGGAAAAACCCTGCCACGAAAAACATCCCCTACCTCTCACTCCAGACGCAGCAGTTATCCATGTTTTGTTTGAGACAAGGAAGTAACCTGCAGGATTCAAATTTTCCCCATAATTATTAGAAAGTATCTCTGCTTAAAACCAGGAAGTAACCACTGTGATCAAATCTCCCACAATTATCTGTTGATCATGAACGGGAATCAGATGTCTTTGATGGCCCTGAAATTGTAGATATAATTTCATACTAATGCAAATTTGAGAGCATGTCCATTGCTTTCGTCAGTTTACTAAGGTGGCCTATGGCCAAAAGAAATATAAGATCCACTGATCTAAGGGTTTCCTGGATTGAGACCAGGAAGTAACGGACTGATAAAAGACATTCTTTCACCCCACCTCCGCGAGATTCTTCAAAGACAGCTCTGACACTACAGAGACAGCTCTGTACCAGCAGTTTCTTTGACACCATATCCAGGCAGAGGATGCAAGCACTGAGGGGAGGTGGAGGCAGGAAAACATGACAAGACAGAGGGGTGCTTCCAAGCTCCTGACCTGAAGCGGTCTTCACGGAGAAGGATCGGTCCCAGCTTGGAGAGTAACCCCAGTCTTAACTAGGTCGTGGAGCCTATAGGAGAGGAAAGCTGGATGTTTCTGGATGTGAGGATCAGACAAGGAGTAACTGCCATGTTAGGGATCATCATAGATCCAGTTTCTGTGGTTGGATTCAGGGGAATTGTCCCTGGAGCTGAGCCAAGATAGGACCAAGGGCCAGGGCTGAGGGAGATAACCTGCCCGGCCTAGACTGAAATGGCTGGAATAAAGCAGCAGCATCATGTACAGGGAGAACAAAGGGGCAGCACAAGTCCAGAAATCTCAGTCCTTGGATAACGGTGTGCACTTGGGCAAGACCTTTAACCTTTTCAGATCTCAGTTCCTTCTCTGCAGACTAATGACACTCACAAGCGTGTATCATTTAGAGTTTCAGGTCGAAAGCCTTTGCTTACATCTCCAAAACTTGGAAAAGCC